CCTTCCAAGTTATCAATTATGGGACTTTCTCCTAACCGATTTCAGTTGTACCGCACAATTAAAGCTTGTCAATATTTACTATTGGGGGTGCGCGATAGACTTACCTCCACGTGGTGCACCCTGGGCAACGTATACTCATACGGCAAAAAGTCTATTAACCGGCAGTTGACTTCTGACTTCAAATTACCGTCACCTTACTGTTTGTTATATTCGATTAATTTCACAGTACTCGTCTTACCTTTTTCTCTACCATTGTGTCTCTCTGTCTCTTTTACATCTTGAAATCACTCTTCCGTTCCTCCCTATCGACTTTTTTTCACTTTGACATTCCTCCCTTCTATGAAGCCTGAAATCAACTAGAGGGCTAATGATAACCATCATAAAGCCAGGCATTCGATACAAAATTTACTACTGAGGCGAATAATAGCAGTAATTTAAACGATAAAACCCTTTAAGTATTCCTTGAGTGAGTGCTGCAAAGTCTGTGAGCGGAAAAATTAAAGTTTTCCATTTAATTGCTTCTCACTATACTTAAAATACCTCACTATCTTCTCTGGGCTAGCACCTTTAAGCTTTCTTATCAAAAAACCCCTCTTTGCTCCATATTGTTCTGTGGTGAAGATCGTAAGAGGATGGAAGGTTTAGCTGAAGAGTAGCTGGTGGGAGGGGGGGGGAGTAGACAAGATACTATTGGATCCAGTAACCCCTCACATTGAGGAGCCTTTATGTTTCAATCTTCCTAACATTGACAATCTCGATCTATTCCGCTTTACTTTCAGAAATAAATAATGCCCTGTAAAATGATGTGAAGTGAAACTCTAAGAATATATATATCCACTTTTGCACCACGCCTGAATAGGCGTCTTCAGACAAACCCCACCCCCCCCCGGCATTAGGTGCAACGAAATTGGCAATTTAGCGGCGCGGGGGGTGGGGGGTGACATGTGTAAGTCACCAGGCTTCACTAATAGCAAATAATTAGCAGACAAGCAGAAGAAAACTCCAGTTCAATGCCGCAAAATAGATGAAGAATTATTGATTTTGTCAAGTGCTGGATAAAATCGGAAATTTTTTGCCCAAAAACAAATTTAAAGTATCAATTCAACGTAGTTTCTACATTCCACTAAAATGTTGGGTAGTTGGGGGGTGAGGGGTGGGGGGGGGGGGGGGGGGGGGGGGGGGGTGGGAAGAAAATAGGAAAATTGCTAACTCTCCTGCTAGAATTTTAGACTAGTTGGGAGGCTATACGGCTAATAACAGGGAAGGATATTGATGTTTGGGGAATTCGTGTTTGAAATATAAATAAGGCTTTTCAGGAACTCTGAGTTTGGCTGGAGTCTCTTTGTCAAAAGGAACCGAAGGCTTACGATCAATCTGTAGTAGCCAAACATCCGCAAATCGATTCCAATTTGTTTGAAATTAGAAGTAGACTGAAGAAAGGAATAATCCACTATCTCCGATTCTCTGAGCAAGCATTGTAAAAACCAGACACTTTTCCATTGTTATTCTTCCGCCATTTCTATTTTGTCTAATAACCAAGTATTAAGATAAACCCAAATTTAACTATTATTTTTTCATAAGCTATGTTTTCGAATGATGAGAGAAAATTCATTTCAATTGGCAGGCTTTATGATATTTATCATTAGCCCTTAAAATTGACTTCAGCTTCCCCCAAGGGTGGGGGGTACATTTATAGCAGTTCATTAGCTGTCTTCTTGCTTCCCAGTATCTCTGGCTTTTCGTCCTTGTCTTTAGGGCTGGACACCGAATCAGGTGGGTCTTCTCCATTACCTCCTGTAGGTCACATAGGGGGCATGTGGGTTGACTGTATACTCCTAATCTGTGAAGGTCTTTTGTCAGGCAATCGTGTCCGGTACATAATCTAAACTCAGCAACGGCTTCGATTCTTGGCCAGTCGGCTATGTCGGAGAGTGCCACTATCCACTGTTTCTCCTTTGTTCGAGCTTTGAGTTCGTTGCACCTTGAGGTCTGGAATTCTCTTCTGATTAAGGCCTTCATGCCGGTCCATGCATTGGAAAATCGTTGTTCCCTTCTTAACAAGTGTGTCAGCAAACTCATTGCCTTTAATGCCACAGTGACCAGGAATCCATTGTAGAACTTGCCTTTAATGCCACAGTGACCAGGAATCCATTGCAGGACCTCTATTTTTTTCTCTCTCAGCAGCTGATAGAGTTTTTTTTACTTTCGTATATCTCAGCTGTTTTGTGTGGCTCTCTGTTTCCAATTGAGTTTATTGCTGACTGTGAGTCCGAAAGTATCATCGCTTTGGTGAATTTCGTATCGTGACAATATAATTGGCATAGTGCTATCCTAATTGCCTCTATCTCTCCTTCAAAAGCGGATCTATTGTGTCCCGCTGCATGAGGAGAGAAAATATGTTTGAGCTACATATCTCACCTGTTCCTTCTTCTCGTGGTACTTCAGTAGTGAGTCTAAATTATGCAGGTTGCTACGTCTCGTAATATTGTTAGATAAATTATGCAGTATACGCATACCCTAGCATCAATGAAATAGATCTCGGAATCTGCCAAACGTTCTGTGGCTCCCCCCCCCCCCCTTCTGTACGTTCTTCATGTCTCGAGGTGTCCTCACGCTCATTACTGAGGCTTTCTACTATCCTTCTTAGACATTTCTAATTAACAAAAGTAAGTTTTGTCCTAGGCCTTCAACTCGGAAACGACTGTTTCAATCCTGTTAACCTTTAAGAAGAACGATATCCAGTCTAATTTAATCGAGGTGGCTTTACTGACATCATTAGCACTACCCCATATGTAAGCAGACCACCTCTTGGATCTAACCCGTCCATTTAAGGTACATCTTAAAGCCTAACATTGCAGGAATTACTTGTTACCTTGCCTAAAGCCATGTGCAGAAATTGCTGGTGACCAACTCCCCACAGATTCCTAAATTACTTTCACTTTATTTTTCCTTTTCTTGAAATTTTGTAAATAAAGAGACACCTCTGCGCCTAACGACTTCAAATAACAGATCAGCATCAACATCAACTAATCATTTTGAAGGCAATGCTTCTATCATATCGACAACCCTTAAGTTCATAAATGGCAAGAAGAAATGAACTCAAATTTGGTAATTTCTTAAATCCATCATTGAGAACCCCAATTTTCAGCATTGGTACCACTTCCAGGGTCTAGAGAAAGGAATGAACATTTATCCAAGAAATGACATCCGCTCTCAAGGCTTAGTTCGGCTAAATCATTCACAAATGAAGCATTACGCATACATCTGGACCCGGCATCTTTCATGGTTTGGATGATCCCACATTGGCTCTCCAAGCTCGTGCCATGATTACAATTATCAACGAACTATACTGTTGGTCGTTTTCACTCAACCGAATGTACATAAGTCACTTTACTTACCGAATTTATGAACAGCATATTAGGTTAGGTGTTTTCTCCACTCAAAACCCCAAATAATTGTAATTAAGGTCTTATACCTAAGGGCAGAAGAAATATGGTGGACCTTATATAACCAGGGGCCGTTACATCGGCGGTCACTAAGTGTTTAATTAACTCCCCAATGAACCTATCTGTTTTGGGTTTATTACAAACAAAAGCAAATATTGCACATCTGCAAATCCCTGGTAGGGTAGCGTTTTAACTTATTTTCAGTTTACCAAATTGATTTATTTGCGAACCCTATAAAGCTCCTCTCTTTCCTAATAGAACATTTTTACGGTTTACAACTTTTCCAGTTGGGGGGAGGGGGATAGACTTACCTCCACGTGGTGCACCCTAGGCAACGTATTCTCATGCGGCAAAAAAGTCTATTAACTGGCATTTGACTTCTGACTTCAAACTACCATCATCCCACTATATGTCATATTCGACCACTTTCACAGTACTCATCTCATCTTTTTTCTACCTTTATGCCTGTCTCTTTTACATCTTTGAAACAGTCTTCTGTCCCACCCTCTCGACTCTTTTCATTTTGATGTTCCTTCCTTCTCCCTTCTGTGAAGCCGGAAGCCAACCAAATGGTTAATGATAACCATCAAAACGCCTACAATTTGATATAAATAAATACTTTTCCAGTCGTCAGGACACTGACTTGTAGTCTCAATTGCAGCCACTGTCCACACACCTCATCCTCCATCAAAAGAGCATTCTTAACTTACATGTAATCGGCCATTTCATCTAGTCTATTCACCGAAACGCTGCTTGTATGATCATGAGATGTTAAACTACCTGGCCGAAGGAATTAATATAACTCCAAATATCGATCACAGGTAACATGAAGATCTGAATTACAAACTAGTAGTTAATGATCAACTCTGGCCCAGTAAGAGAGATTTGCAATGCCTCAATGGGTAATACCATGAAACCAGTGGTCTCCTACTTAAGAGACGAACACAAAGGAGGTGGATCACAAATGCATATTCTTCACTAATATAAAAAAACATCGATCATGTAAGTTCCACCAAAATTGAGTCCAACTCGTTGCAACAATAGTGATTAAACGCCGCAGCAGAACCCACCAAAGCCCTAACCACTGAACAAAAGTGTAGTGATATCACAGAGTGGTTTTTGCCTATTACTATTTCACAATCATCAAGAAATACCTGCTGGTTACAGGACAGACGGACGGATTAGAGAGAGGGAAAAGAGATGAAAGGGGGGGGGGGAGAGAAAAGGGCATTATTTATACCATTATTACTACTAATTCTACAAAAAAGCAAACTCCTGAGCGGCATGCATAAAGAAGTGGAGCCAGACATTCCATAGAAGAGGAAAGACAAGACGGAGAAAAGGCGCACTGAAAAGAGTGCAGGCGGGAAGAGCTTTACAGCAATCTATAGCTACTTACAACTACTTCTAAAATTATAAAAAATAGCTACAAGGGTTTGGCCGTTCAGAAAATTAGAAGTGGTGGGCAAGGGCGGGGGGGGGGAGGGAAGCGACTATCTACATGTGGATTGAAACAAAAAGGTATTTCATTGACGTCTAGACGCAGATCATCCATCATGCATTCCTAACTGCCATTTTACTTTCTTCCCGCCTTTTAGAACGAGCCATGGTTCTCACAAACGCCTTCCATTCCTCCATTAAGAATTGGTCCAAAGCACGAAGGTGTTCAGAAAGCTCACCGCTTGATGACATATCCTGGGGTACACTCATCATTTTTAATTTGTGATCACCAATACGCCCATGAGGAACGCATTCCTGTGGTAGAGAACATGATTCAACTGACGGATCGATATCTTCACTAGGTGTCTGCCGTTGCTGCTGCGCTATCTTTGGAGAGCCCGATGCTTGATCAGTTGTTGGTTCTTGTTTAACTTGAATTGATGCATTCGGTGCTTGAGAAACAGAAGGCGTTATTTGTGATGGTGTTTGAGAGGAATCTGACGTCTTATGAACATTGCTTGAAGGTTGTACCTGAGCAGAATCCTGTGCTTTTGATGTTTTCGAAACAGTAGGTTTTTGATGCTGTGGCATTTTGGAGGGGGATGGCGTTTGCTGAACTGTCTTTGAAGTTGAGGGCTGCGGCTGACCGAGGGACAACGATTTTTGTGCTTCGGTTCCCGAAGATTTGGATGAACTAACGTGGGCTTGTTGCGTTGACGTCTTTGGTAAAGTAGGGGCTTGAGAAACAGGCTTTGAGGAAAGAGATTGTTGAACTTGACCGGACGGTTTTGATGATTTTATTAAAGCAGGTTCACTATTCTCAGGCGTTTTATGGACAGGCTTTGAAGTTGTGGATTGTTGTCGTGGGGCAGGATGTACTTGAGAAAGTTTTCGTTGTTTCGAAGGATAAATTTCCAACGGTTCAAATCCCATCGAACCTGAAACCGAAAGTGTTAATGAGAATTCGGGATGGTTCAGACTATTGGGATCCTATAATACTGCTTGAGAAGACGTTATGGAAATGGATATGTGCTTACCATGGTGTTGACCTTTGAGATTCGGTGTCTCAGACATTTGGGATTGGTGAGAAGGACCCGTAGTACCTGAAGACTTTTTCAAACTGTCAGCCGAAGGTTGCGCAGTTGTAGGGTTAGAAGACCCATTACCACTGGGTATCAGTTGTACTGGCGTAGCATAAGTATAACCTTGACAAGGGACCGATTTTGATTTGGCTTGGGTAGAGGGAGCAGGTGGATGTACAAGTGGTTTAGACCATGCAGACTTTTGAACCCCCGCTGTTGGCACGGCAGTGCTCCTCGAAAATGATTGACTAGGCTTTACTGAATCTGGAGGTCCCGCTCTAGACACAGGAGTAGGTTTTATTGAACTTGTCGACTTATTAACAACAACTTGCATGTCAGAATTTTTTACAGCTTTCTGTTGTGACAGCGACTCAGCCGATTTCTTTGAAGGTCGTTGATTTGGAGGGTTTTCGCTTAACTTTTTGCTTTGTCGATCGTTGGGAATAATAACAGATGATGAATTAGACACCTTCTTGTTTCGCCTTTTTTTCTTACTAACTTCTTGATAGTCAGTAAAAGAATCCACCTGTTCGTCAGGGACTGTACCATCGTAGAGCTCAGGGTATAGATTGGCTGCCTCCGAATAACTATCGTCAAAGAGCCTCTTTTTTTCCTCTTTTACCTCCTTGCCAGAGTCTTTCTTCCTCTTGTCCTCTTCCTTTTTACTATTTACCTTCACCTCTTTTTCCTTACTTTCTGAATCCCTCACAATAGATGGTTTCTCATCGTTTTGTTCCTTTTTCGCCTCTGACTGATCCAAATTTGGCAACGTCTTGTCCTTTTTCTTTTGTTTTGAGGTCTTTTTCTCCGCCTTGTTCCCTTGAATGGCCTCATTTATAATAGCTGCAATTTCCTCATCGGTCAAATCTATCATCTCAAAGTCGGGCTAAATAAAAAAAGGAAACAAACAATATATTCGTATGGGGACGAATGAACTTGATATACTTTAAGCCTATCGACCAATTTCATTTATTTGTAGTGCATAGTATTTTAGTTCATGTTCGCTAACTCTCACTACCAGAGTGATTAACAAATGACGCAAAGCAGCACAACTACCCTATTTCATACAAATTTGTGCATACAAGGGGGTTGGAAATTTACTCAGTTCAAGCTTTAAGGTGGGCATTCCAATAAATAGTAGGAGACTCTAACGTGAACATTGAATGTTTACCTTTTCTTCCGAACATAGCCGACAGACTCGATGTGTATTCCAAAGCGTATCGGAAGAAGGTGCCTTCTTACAGTTTTCATGGATATAAGTGTAGTATCTTGGAATTCATCTGATGCGAAACCCGCATTCAACGATCCTTTTGACCAGTATAATTAAAACTACCGTTCATAGCTTACGCACAAAAGAATACCGAACATATACGACGGATATATCACAGGTATTGAAAGTAAGATTCAAGAAATTCACCGATTACGCTGGGATGATAGAATATATCTCTTGTAAATTAAGATCCAAATTTTCAGCCATGCGACTTAAACTCTTAAGAAGTAAGATCAATTTAGGGAAGTACAATACGTAGCGGAAGTGACGTTTATAAGAGGGTGAAGGCCCACAATAATATTAGATCTTCGCGATAACGAAGGAAAATTTAGCAAAGCCTCAATAGTAAATAAAGAATAGGATACCGTAGTTCTTATGGCGAGAAATTGCTTTACATCATTATTAGCCAAAGCTACTGCTCACCGACGCACATCGAGTCCTTAACCTCCAATTGGGAGACAGGCACAAAGCTATCAAATTACTCATTAGATAAATGAAACAGTACAATAAATGGAGCAGCGGATAGTCAGCGAAGTTAGTAGACATGGTGATAGGAATTTGTCACCGGAGGTTCAATGAACGACTTCCCAAGTTTACTCGGGAGTTAAATGGATTCAAAAGTTCTCCACCCAGATTATTATAAAAAGAAACCATTTCAATGAAAAAAATGGAATAGAATAGCCATTTCTCTGCTAATTTGTGTACTCCTTTTCAACTCAGACTACTTGCACTGCACTGAGAGAGAGCGAAATCAAAGAACTCTGACATACGAAGGTGCAACACTACACCTAGTAAAAATAATAGCACCACAATATTAGACTATTCAACCTATGCAGTACTTTTGGCTTAATTGTAAACGGTCTTAGTTTTAACCCACTTGAAGCAATATGAGCGCTGACGGACATCAAGCCTAGACCCTGACACCAGACAAGCACGAAAATCTTTGCGCTATTGATCTATTACACTTAAATTCACTATTTTCTCGTGACTAAAATTCCTAATTCTTTTATTTTTAATACAAACTAAACGATGAACACTAAATAACACATACATTAATAAGATTGTAGCTATTTAAACCATACCGAATTAAGTAACTTGTATGAGAAAGGAAGTACTTTAGATTATCAACATTGAGCCAAAATGAAAACGCAAATGGAAAACAGTCTCCTGAATGTCAGAGTTTTCATGCTGAGAAAAACCTAAATACTCCATTAAAAAGGTTTTAAGGACGAGGCATTAATGGCAAGATCGCACAGTAACGGACTCAACAACCAGACAACTAAATCGATTGGTAAAGATTGACTGCCAACGTTGAACAAGGAATGTCGCTGTTAAGTTATCCCGTTCTTATTTTTTTGTTCCCAGGTTTCGTAAAAAGAGGTGCAAGTAAACAATCATCCATTTCATACATGTTATTCCCCATGGACACTGCGCTCACTGACGGAAATCAAATCTCTGATTCTATAGACCAACATTCCACTCGCTGCATCACCAGCATACATTCTCACATAATTACAAAGTACGAAAGCAACTTCTTTCCCCCAAGACAACTAAATATTGCAAACGTAAAGGAGCATTAACAAGCAGTGCTCACTATCTTGAAATGGGCATTCTACTGGAAACGGAGAAAAAACTGACGACTAGTTGTAACTTAAATTTGACTGCATTTAAATTTCAAAACTTACAGACCAGATGAATTAGAGCTCACATAAACAGGGCATTTATGCTAAACAAGTTAATAAACAAACTTAAAAAACGCAAAATATTCAACCCATAATAAATAGTGACTTAAAGGATATTTGAGTTTTGAGGAAAAACTTACACTAGGGGACCTAGTTCTTGGACCATGAAGGAAGGGATCATCTTCAAAGCCAGGGAAGAAAGGCATGCCAACGAGACTGGCGGAGAAGTTTGATGACTTGAGATGATAGGCATGATCTTGTCGTGTTATCGTTAGAGAAAGCGTCGTTGGAAAATCAATACTACTAGGAGCCCCGCTGTGAGGTGATAAAGGATAGCCGTTGGGAATTGCACAGAGTTTCGGTTTATTATTATAATCGGATCTCAGGTTATCCAGCATCATTTTCCAAACCTAATGTAGCAAAAAGACAACAATGATAAAAGTCGGTGAACAAAGTAAACATAAGAAGACGATTTAATAAGAGCAGGACGAGGAAAAGAGCCTTTGAAATACCAATACATCGATGTTTTTTTCAATTAACCGATGGTAATACCGTCCAGAATGATCGAATAGAATATAGGCAAGGTTGCTAAGCATTAAGCCATTTCGGAGAAAATGATCATGTTTGCCTTTAAAACGTCCAATAAGGCAATCGAAATGATGATCAAAAATACATGGGTTATACCTAGGCCTTTCCAGTTCCCTTCCAATTGTCATGAAAAGACATGTCGACACTAGATCGATCTGTTTTTAAAGAAGATAAGATAATTAAAATGTACCTTATTAATAAGAAGAAGATGCATTGAGTAATTTAGATAAATGATGCAAGAACATGATGAGTAGTGCTCAGTAAATAATGTTTAATTAGACGAAAACGTTCCAAGGACAAAATTTACGAATTCATGTGTTAAAAGAGGCAAAACTCAATGGCAACACAGAATCATCAACAAAATTAATATAGCAAAATATTTTACCGATAAAAGGAAGTAAAATAGTATCTAAAAGGTCTTAATAGAACTGAAAATGAAATCTCAAATATATTCTAGGTGAACATGCTTGGGTAATTGAAATAAACACTAATTAGGTGTAAAATAGAAATTAAAAATGCTAAGTATCTATTAAACTGAGTTCCCCGGATAATAAAAAAATCCAGGCAGTAAAGTGGTAGACAATATGTATTTTTTAAGAAAATTAAAAGTCAACATTTAAAAGTTTTGTAGGAATGCCATTCGGAGGACAAAGAAGACAACGCTTACAATTTTCTCAGGTGATGATTCCGCACGTTATGACCTTCAGATAAAATATTTCGGCAGTGCAAGTTGTTATTGCAAACGAATGTACTAAATGCGATAAAGTATAGATTTCAGTAATAATTATGAAAAAAGATAAATTAGGCATGTATTTTAGGTATTACTGTGAGAAAAAATATGCGAAAATGTGTTAAGTGAGTTAGCATATGAAATAAATAAATTAATATTATTAATTTCAAAAAATTATTTTTAATCCAATTTATTATTGTTGAAAATGAACTATTATATAAAAATTAACTTTATTGGTTTACATTTTATTTTATGCTCAATACATATCGTTTCTCATTTGATCAAATAGGTATAAAGAATTATAAATAAGTGTACGAGATTTTCTTCGTTGTTTTAGAGGAATGAAATACTGTCACATTATCTTTAACCAAACTGCAGAAACTTTTAAATAACAACAGACTCAAGCAAATAGCCCTGGCATTGAGGTATTTCCTTAAAGCAGAATCTTGCATTTAACCTTGCTTTAACCGAGTTAAAATATCAATCTTTAATGCCCAACTGGTAAGATTTTAAATTTACATATCTTCTCTCTCTGATAACATGGTACGATATTCAATTTTAACCATTTCATGGTTAGAAATTATTTAAGATATATTCAAGTACAACAGTTTAAGGTCTAAATTATATAAAATAAGATGACTCTCTTACCTAAGAGGCACCACAAAATGAAAACCATGCTAGACAGGATAACGGGAAAAAATCAATGAAAATAAGTTAAGCTGAAGAAGCTGAGGAAAGAAGTCGACTTGGAAGACTAAATGCATGAAACTTAACACATAGAGTTCGAAATACAAAATACAGGGAAAAAAGCAATTTTCTCATTATTTAAGAATGATTCAAATTAAAATTCATATCTAAAACTTATATTCCGGTAAATTTTTCCCCAACTAACAAAAATTACCAACAACATCGTTTTATAAATTGATAGTATATGTTGGATGAAATGCAACTGAATATACAATAAGTTTATAGGATGAAGTGAAATGTTTTGACTCCTACATTAGGTACTTTGGATATAACTTGTCCTCTCGATTCATTTAAAAATTGATTTTTAATATAAAAATATGACAAACCTCAATGTTTAACTAATGGATCCTATTTGTTGAACAGGATTTGTTTTTTTAAATATCAAATAATGTTTTCATATAAAGAAAACGAATCCATAACTGATAATTTGTATTCATATCATTTGAACGAAGAATTGCAAAAAAGGGCGGTCGTGAGTGTAGTTGCCTTTCACCATATATCAGGCAATAGTCGCTGCAACAAAGCATTGCTGTATTTGTATTTTGGTGACTAAGCTCTGTGCCAGTAGCACATAGGCTGTAATAAACTCATTTTATCCCATAGTTCCCGTCTTATCGATATTTTTCAGAAATTTAGCTATTTCATACCAGGAGAGTTCACCATAAGAGATTGTTTTTGTTTTGTTGGGGCTCATTAGTGAAGTGTTCGATGCAAAGCTTCGGGCCATAAAAATATAACTCAATTCTTGCATTAAAATGCGTTCAAGCGAACATTCAGCCACATTAATTTAGAAAACCGTGCTAATAATTTTTCAATAGTTTAGCATAAATCATTAATTGGATTTATTGTTAGAAGAAATGCTCGAATTCAAAACCTAATTTGCATGAATTTTTCTGTACGGGCAGATTCTCTTTCCAAAATCTAATAGTCATTGAAATATTTAATCAGGAATGGATACATTTCGCAATCGTAAAATTCATATGTATTTAGCATTTATGAAAGCTAAAATAAGCTATTAAAAAACCACATTGAGTAAACATAGGCTAAATAACTTCGATAAATTAAAATGCTATGTTCATTTATTTCTCCAAAGTTAAAAGCTCTGAATATAGCGTAAGATCAACTGTCTCATCTAGCACTGAAAAAAAGACTTTAATCATCTAGACCAATCGTTCTGATAAAAAAAATCGGCCAGTAAGCGCAAAATATGGCAAATAAGAATTCAATACAATCCAGAGTATGAATCATTACATTTGAAATTTGGAATATGAGCTACACACTTAGAAAGATTTTGCAATCTGGTTCCACAAATTCAAATGAAGCAAGACTTTGTTACGTCCATTTTTATTACACTCTTATTGCGTAATTTTGTAATTTACGTTTATTCCCTGTCCGTTGCTTCCCACAGCTAAATAACATGTGAACATTTATTTATATTTGTTTATTTCAAAGGGCAGACTTTATGATATTTATCATTAGCCCTTAATCTTTGACTTCAGCTTCCCCCAAGAGGGGGGGAGGGTACATATATAGCAGTTAATCAACAGCAGTTCATTAGTTGTCTTCTTGCTTCCCAATATCTCTGGCTTTTCGTCCTTGTCTTTAGGGCTGGTCACCGAATCAGGTGGGTCTTCTCCATTTCCTCCTGTAGGTCACATAGGGGGCATGTGGGTTGACAGTATACTCCTAATCTGTGAAGGTCTTTTGTCAGGCAATCGTGTTCGGTACTTAGTCTAAACTCAGCAACGGCTTCGATTCTTAGCCAGTCAGCTATGTCGGAGAGTGCCACTATCCACTGTTTCTCCTTTGTTCGAGCTTTAATTTCGTTGCACCTTGAGGTATGGAATTCTCTCCTGATTAGGTCCATGCATGGCAAAATCGTTGTCCCCTTCTTAGCAAGTGTGTCAGCAAGCTCATTGCCTTTAATGCCACAGTGACCAGGAATCCATTGTAGGACCACTGTTTTGTTTTTCTCTCTCAGCAGCTCATAAAGTTTTTTTACTTTCGTTTATCTCAGCTGTTTTGGGTGGCTCTCTGTTTCCAATTGAGTTTATTGCTGACTGTGAGTCCGAAAGTATCACCGCTTTAGTGAATTTCGTATCCAGGCAACATAATTGGCTTAGTGCTATCCTAATAGCCTCTATTTCTCCTTCAAAAGCGGATCTATTATGTCCCGCTGCTGCGTAGAAAGGGAAGAGTTCAGAATAGACACCTGCACCAACGTTTGCTTGGCTTTCTATATATGACCTATGACATGTGAACATTAATTGTTCTACTTTCTACAATAATAATAACTTTGCATTACGGGAAGCATAGGGATTGACTAGAAGGTAGGAGTCCACCCTAAATTAAGGTTTTGACAGAGTATGAAATTTATTAACTTCCTCCGTGTTCATTAGAGCTTAATTTATTAAAATTCCAATGTCATATTTTTTTCTCCCTTACTAAAATGCATTCATTTACAAAATTTATTTTGATATAGGGAAGTACATTAGATTTTGTATAAATTAATTTGAATAATATTCTGGATATTGAGATGAAATTTCTAGAGCAGGTGAATTATAACAGTTGAAATTACCTAGAAGTTAAATAATCTTAGAAAATCACGATAGTCTTGATAATATACATTGCACATCGAGGGGAATGTATTTGGATTCAATACTTCAAGTGAGAAAAAATAACTAAAACTAAATTGCCGATAAGAATATTATGCATTATAATTTAAAAAATTTCCGATCATGCAGAAAAAAATACAAAAAGAAAACAGAAGTCATTATACTTAATTTACACTAATGCAGTTGTGAGCAAATTACAAATGGGATCCATAAAGCTGTCGGGCTAATTGTAAAGCATTTTTAGGCAAAATTGATATATATCAAGATTAGCTTGCTACAAGAGGCCAAATTCAAACAATTTCAGTATGTTTTAACGACCAACCTGCACCTGACTACCAATTAGGATGCTTTCACCAGAAAACTAATCTTGCCAAACCGTACTTTTGGGTAGCTGAGAAATCAAATGCGCCCAAGACATCTTTTAAAACTGCGATCACTTGGTCGTATCGAATAGTGGCATATTTGCATTGGCATATTGGCTTACAATACTAATTCTACAGCGTAACTGTGCGATAATAGACACAATGTGGTTCGGTTAGTTTAATGTAATCAACAGGAATCATAACAAGGAGCAGCTAGTTAGAGGATGAAAGGATCCTCTGGAAATAAGTCCACTTATGATTCCCATTGAAAAAAATTATGGATAGATGGATATAAAGATGTAAACAACAGGAAAATCTTCCACTGCTATTAATAGGCTCATTTATTGCCAGAAAACATCAACATTTCGTTTTCTATTGACAAAGTAAATGTGAAACTACATTGAGCAATTTAGTGTTCGCGAGGTAGTCGAGATACCTCAAAACAGTAGCACGATTTATTAACAGTGAAAACAATACTAGATGCTTGGTTTGACGTCAACTACCGATTGAGTTTTGTTCAGAAGAGTCACTCGGCAAGAAATCAAGAAAAAGTTCATAGAGTTGTTCTGAAAGGAATTCAAACTGGTTAACACGCAAATATGCAATTAGTTTACCCTTCAGAATTTTCTGTTGAACATTGAGTTGGGCCAAGGTTGACTCCAAAATACACACATCTTTGAGAATTTGATCTACCTTCTCAACTCGTTCCGTCTAGAAATAGATGGGAGCACAAATAATCCAAATTTTTCTCCGTTGAGTCGTTATATTTGAATTTACTACCAGCATGGAGCTAACAAAAGTGTATGAATTAAAATATTTTGCAACACAACTGATAACATTTGCAATATATACACAAAATCTTGAAGTCGAATCAACTTTATTGGTTATTCAAACAATTCTAACGATTTTAAAAATAGCTTGGGAATAATGAAAGTAACAATTTCATTCGCATGAAGCACGATATGTTATTGCATAAAAGCGTAGGTTCGAATAATTCACTCTTACCCTTTCAATAAAAGAAAGAGTGCCATAATTTATGATTTAAAATATTTAAGAAATGCCTGCCAAATATGGCAATCAATTAATTTATTAAACTATTGTCAATTATTGATTCAGTTCAGAAACTCCATATCACCTTTATTAAATTAAATTTCAATCGCATTGTTTATTAATGCCGTATATACGTATAATTCTGTTCAATTTCCTTAAATTGTAATAATTTAGGTAATCGTTTTACATTCTTTGATTTATCTATTGTACGCGTCATTTAGATAATAAATATTAGCATATCTCACTTAATATTAGGAATGTCAGCAATACCAAATTTTTTTCACATTGACAACCTACAAGAGATCACTTAAGAAGAATTCAATTCAATACATTTAAGATACCGCAGAATTTAATACTTTTAACATTCTAAACCTCAAATATATCTATTTTATTATAGAGATTTACTTCCAATATTAATGTGTAGAATTTTAAGCCTCTCCATTCTTTTTATTCTGTTGAAATCGTCACTAAAGCTTAAATTTACTTTACCAATTGACAAGTCTATTCTTAATCTCAAAAACGACTCACTTCGACTTTGCTGTTTCAATTTTGATATATGAGATATTGGTAACACCAAATTATGTTGAACAATTTTAATAAATAAACTTTATCTGTTTATTTCGTGAAGTCAGTTTTATTCAAAAATAAAAATCATATGATTAGTATGATCAAAATATATGATAATTGAATATTGCCCTAGTTAGCTTAAAGTTAAAATGTAGTGACGTCAATATGTCATAGTGATAGTTACCGTTAATTGAAAATTCATGTGCAACCACCCATACACACAACTGTTAACCCTATGGATATTACAGTTAGGGTAATATAACCAGCTAATTTTCTCATATAGATGGTGTTGACTGATATCTGCTTAAAATGACACTATAAACGCTTAGTTGTTTAAATCTAGTCTGTACTCATTCACCACTTGCGACAAGATTCAACACATAAGTTTATTCAAAGTAACATATTTTATATACAAAGATTACTTAGCAATAATCTTAACTCATTATGAAGTGAGTAGAGGGGTATAGTTCGAATAAATGCCTAAATTAAAGAAATTTTCTAAAGGTCTGTATTTCGGGTTTTAAGACGGTCTATTTTGTTTGTTTGAACTTGAATGTTCCTTATTAACTCTCTTTATAATTAAAAATATAAAAGTTATTAATCGGATGCTTTTTCTTAAATCCAATAATGAATAATATTTGACTAATAAAAATTAAATTGTGTACTTTACTTTTTAAATTATTATTATTTACCGAAAAATTCAAATATCTATTTTATTTAACTCTCTGAATGTGCGATAATTTCGCTGGGGATGGGGGGGGGATATATTCATTTTTAGTATGTTCCTCAATGACCTTGCAAATTTTCGAGTTTCTTTGGCTTTTCTTAGAATCGTGCTGATTGTGGTGTCGGTAAATTTGATCGCAATTTCCAGTTTGATATTTGTATTTGTAATAATATTAGCTTATTTTTAAATAAAGAGATATTTCTTCGTCATATAATGACCTCAATAAAACTAGGCACACACAATGGTTCATTTCACTGTGATGAGATTTTGGCTCTTGCTATGCTTCGTAAGTTGCCGGAGTACCAAAATGCTGAATTGATAAGATCTAGAGATCCAAATCTCCTTGCCTCTTGTGATGTTGTTTTTGATGTCGGTGGGGAGTTTGATTCTTCGAGACACCGCTACGACCATCATCAACCGTATGCTCTGTATTTTCCCTCACACTACTTTTCAGTTCATTCAATATGACCATTCAAGATTTCCACCCTTCGTTAAAGCCAGCTGTAAAGCTAAGCAGTGCCGGTTTGATTTATGCTCACTTTGGAAAGCGAGTAATTGCCTCGATCATCAACGAACATTCAATTGAATCGGACATTGTCAATACACTATTCACACAAGTTTACAAGAGTTTTGTAGCTGAAGTTGATGCTATAGATAATGGTATTGCTATATCTTCTGTTCCTCCAAAGTTAGTTCTATTCTATATATAGAGTTATTGGTCCCATTTCTACTCGGTACAACGGCCTCTTTCATTTTAGTTATACAATTGACACTGATCTATCATCTCGAGTTGGACGACACAATCCTACATGGAATATGCCTGATGAGGATGAGAATGTAAGCTTTACACGATTTTTTGTTCAATTGCTCTAAACTAAGTCGCGTCTTTTAGAACCTCGAAGCATGGTGTTGCATGCTCGTCTCATTTCGTTTTTTATTAGGTTTCCAGAAATCTACAACGTTAATTTCCATTTCAGTAATTTGACAAAATGTTTCCATGAGCTTTGTACGACCGACCCTCCTATATTATTTATAGTGGGCAATCTTTTAGTCGTATGTTTTTCTAACGCTCTCGAATACATTACATAGTAGAACACCCAGATGATGAGTAAAAGGGAGGGTGTTTCATAAACTTTTGTTTTTACGTTAGGCTAGATTTCTGTGTTGCTTTCGAATTTTGCTCGTTAATTTGTTATTTAATACCTATAGCTGTTTACTCCATATTGTAATACGTTGGAATTTAGATATGCGTATTTCTCCCTAGAGTTCCTGAGTGAATTCCTCCATGTGATATTTAGAAGAAGTTTTCTGGTTAATTACATCAATTCAATTCGTTAGAATAGCTGAAGTAACCATTTGATAATTTATAGCATGTTTACATTAAACTAGCAAGCAAGTAAGATAACCAGTGAGCTACTTATGCGCAAGCATCATGATGTGTCGTAGTATTTTAATTACCTAACATTGCCACCCAGAAACGTGTGTAAGAGATAAAATAGTTAATCTCCAATCTTTCAAGGCTTCAACTAACTTCATCATGGACTAGGCCGAAAGGCAACAGAATATGTTATGCACACATGCCTTCGACGAGAATTGTATCCCAGTTGGTAAATCGAAGGAAGAAGTTAGATGAATGCTTATATACGTGGAATAATATGGGTGAATGATTTAGGAGAATGGTCAAAAGTAAGTCAAACTCATCAGAAATTTAGACCTTTGCAATTTTCTAGTATATTGAAAAGCAGTCTTTTGTCATCGTACCACGCCCAGAGAGGATCTGTTCTGTTGACAAGAACTTTTTACCTTTCTCTGTTAACTACCATACTGGTGAATGTCATAGTACTTCATGCGAGTTCTCCAAAGAAACTTAGATATGCGTCCATTGTTCTCTTTCTTATAGTTCAGTGCTATGTTCATAGTGAGAATTTAATGTGATAGTGAGTTCATGACGGAACTTGTAACCTCAAGCTTTTGTAACTTCGTTCTGTTTTAAACCTACCAGGAATGTTTCATGCGTGCCTTTGAAATGGTTGACGGGGAGTTTGTAGAGTACGTCAAGTCGATGGCAATGTCTTGGTATCCAGCTCGCGATATCGTCAAACAGGCAATTACTGCTAGATTTAGCGTACATCCAAGTGGTTACATTATGCGCATCACTGGTCCGAGTTGTCCTTGGAAGGCCCATTTCTTTGACTTAGAAAAAACGTTGGTTCCTGGATTTGCTGACACCTCGAGACAAGAAGTAGGTAGGAGTGATTTCCGCAATCGCCCTGTCTTTATGATCACAGAGCGAAAAACTCCAAATGGAACTGAATATAATGTTCTAACAATTTCTTGTGGGCAGGATCAGCCATTCACCCGGAGGTTAGTTCTGATTTTAGTATTCAAATTTGTCTTCTTCTCTTGTACTTTTTGGAGTCTGGATCTTTCCAATTCAGCTCTTGAGACTTCGTATTGTACCAAAATGCAATCGTAACATATGGAGACCGCGTCATTATTATTTGGTTACTCGAATCATTTGCTACTCAAGTACTTTGCTATCTGCTTGTGTAAGCAAACGTGACTATTTCATTAATGTATTTGCGACTACAGCCAAATCAGACCCAACATAGTTGTTAGGAAATAAGCTGGTAGTGATAGTAATGAATAAGACAATTTTGAGGGCTGTCAGGTGTGTTATGCTGATGCCTGTTGAAAAACTGAGTATATCAGCAGCATTAGCCTCAAGGTGCAGTGTTTGACTACCGAGTATCGATTTTCACATGCTTCTGTTTCTCGTCAAATCCTCAAAAAGAATCGTTATTTAGCCTGCAACAGTTTTAAAGAAATGTCGTGCGAACGCTTGTTTCTCAAGCTCTTTCACTTTCTTTGGCCTCTCCTATTCCAGTTTGTTGGACGTTGAAAGCACATCTGTAAGCAGGTAATAGGGTTCTGATTTGATTTCTGAATGTTAGCCATTAGGGTTTAAGCATCACGGAGCCTTTTGCACTTTCTTTCTTTCATTCAAACTTATCTTTTTCAATTCATTCTAGAGTCTCTCTATCGGCTGCCTTTGCAGGTAAACGAGGTGAGGAATTGTCTAAACTCGTTGGTATCGATGGTGCCGTATTTGTGCATGTGAATCTTTTCATTGGAATCCACAAAACTTTTGAAGGCGCTCTGCAAATGGCTGTCAAATCACTTGAAGAGGCGAAGTACCTCTAAAGTAACGTTTCCATTAAGAAAAGTCTGTAACATTGAAAATAATAATTTATTTTTATTAATATCTTTGCTTTTTGACCTTACTGTTTACGCATTGACAATTTTCTTAAGCCACTGCAAGTTGGCCCCAAGTTACCAAACTTCTCAACCACTTTCCACGTGAAGGTCAAAGAATCCAGCATCAACACAAGTTTAGGCAATTTATGGTGTCTTCCAAGTCGTAATGTGTTATTCTTGAGTCTTTCGATTTGCATAAACCAATTCGCCTTTATTATTATGTTCTAAAAATTCGGATTAGGAGTAAAAAGCACTCTTCGTCTTTGTTGTATTTTATCCAACAGAAAGAAAATGGAGCAAATATTCAGAGAGAAAGAGAGAGGGAAATGTGTCTGTGTGTGTGTGTTTGTGCTCTTTGCTTCATAGTATGGGAAGAGGAGGTGGGGAAGGGAATCTGACCAGGAATCTGGTGGAGGGTCGGCAAGGCACAGATTCTCGAGTTTTAATTTTCTCTTCATGCTTGATCGCATGAAATGGTGAAGTGTGTGTGTGTGTGCGGCTTCAACACGTCCACCTTATTGGAATCCACCGTTCACATCTTGCTTCTTTCGCAAGATCTACAATCTCATCAACACTTTCCTCAATTCCTCGATGAACGATTATTCTATCAGCGTATGGCCGGTAGATGTACTCCAGTACTTCGCTTTCTCTGGAGAGCTTCTTCAAACTTTCATCCTAAAATGGTTATACACCTGAGTAGATGGAGAATGTACTTTTAGGTTAACAATAAAGAAGTAAATACATGCTGCAAAATTTTTGTCAATAGAGGCTTTTATGGAGGGGGGGGGGGAACGAAGGCACTATTTACAGAAAATAAGTGTAAATGTGTGCGTTTAGATGGGTTAAAGGGTAGAGCCAAAGACAAGTCACTGTCTTGACAGTCAAGCTTTATACGCTCTCACTCAGTCGGTGGTATTTAATTTGACCCACACTAGCTGTGTACACGTTGCTCCTAGCATTTTTGCAGTCAGTACAAAACTGTAATCGACCTATTTAAGGGATTATGTTAAAGCACCTTAAATTGCTAGAATTGATTATTTATTGAAATGATAAGCCGTCTTGGAGGCAAAGGACTTAGCCGTTTTCTTTTTGCACTTTGTTAGCTTAAGGCTCATTTTATTGGTTATATTGAAAAAGTGATAATTTATGTTTCGGATATTAAATACATACTTTTCAGATTGGCAGAAACAATAGCCATAGAGCAGTAGCATAGATAGCAGCTTCTAACGAATATAAGCACATTTTCACAACAAAATATAAAAATAGTCCAATTTCCAGTTCACACACTACCTTCACTTATTCCCCCTACATTTTCGTTCTGCCGTCCAGTAAACATTCAAAATGATGGAATGGGATCTTTCAGAGTTCAGTCCTCTAAATATTTTACCTCTTGACTAAGAATCAAAAGGAGACGCAAATGAAATGATAATTCGTGTTAAATAAACTTGAAGTTAAGCTTACCAAGTTCTCACGTTGACCATCCTGGCTCAGCAAACGATTCAAGGGTGGCGGGACAAGAAGTACAATCAGTGGAGCAAATTCTGCCGATCGTAGAATCCGAAGAGCACGTGGCTCAACATCAAGGACTGGCAAGCGGCCAGTGGTCATCACAGATCGAATACTATCCAGACGGATTCCATAAAGAATATTTTTTCGTTGGCCATATTCAAGGAACTCCCTATTCACTATATCAGCAGCCATTTCCTCCTCTTGTACAAAGTAGTAGTGCTCCCCGTTGCGTTCATGCGACTCCGGCTTACGTGTCGTATCTTCATTTGAAAGAGGAGCACTATTAGGCCTACCATTTTGCAAACCAAATCCTCTCCATTTATTAAGTTTAGGTAACAAACCAAATTATTTGTCTACGAACCAACAAGGCGAGGCAAAATAAAGTCAAGGTAAATTTAATCGACTTCAACGAAAACAATAGAAAGGAAGCACAAATGACTTGAACAAATTTTTGATATGCCTCTCCTTCGGGATTTTTTAATGAAGATCCGACAACACTAGACGACTTTTCCAATTATTTCCTAAATTGAATTGGCGCCTTTACTTTTGAAAGTGTGTCCACTTTTTCGTGCTTGAATAAAATAAACATTAACCAATTATAATGTATTAAGCACAACTTATAAATCCTTTCAAAGTTTAGAAATATCGTGAATGAATGCTGTAAACTGTGGGACACGTTATCGCTGTGTGCGTCATCGTATGCCTGCATGCCTGCTCGCCAGGATTAGGAGGTGCGTCCGTACAACTCTGTGTGCAGCGACCGTACAAACAGTGACCAATCAACAACCTCTGTTTAACCTAATCCCCCATCCTGATCATGAGTAGTTCCCTGTGTGCACACTTGATCCGCAATATACGTCCTGAATAAACGTGCTCCGTGCTACACGTCTGTTCCCTTTCATAGCTGGACTACAGCTTAGCTGGTTCTGGGAGTCTAGCTAGATGTTGGAGAATCTGCCATAGAGATTTCTGAGTCAGTCAGGCTTTAATAAAGTGGCAATCCGCTACAAAACTTTGACAATTTTACAAATCTAAGGAGAGTTGCTATCAACTTAAAAAAGGCTTTGCTATTAAGTGAATTGATGCTTCAACATGCCTAAGCTTTGTGTCAAATATGGGAGAATTCTCACTTTCCCTATTGTCTAATATATTCTTGTATTAAGTACAAATAATTACTTTTCACAAAATTTTAATGTTAGCCATAAGTTTTACAGTTTTAAGATGCTGAAACAAAATGTGAGATAATCAAAGATCTATTTCCACTCTATGACAATAAAGAAGGATAAAAAGAGGTGCTTGCCTTTGCAAAAGATTGAAATGCACATTAACTAACTGAAGTAATCACATTATTACCAGATTATCATATTCAATAAACTCAACTTTATAAATTGAAGGCTATGTATAATTCATTTAACAGGTAGATACTTGAATGTTTCTGTTTACCACATATTCGAGTTCCTGGAGACTTACGACAGAGTATGGACAACCACAAGAAGAAAAGGCTCGTGATTTTGCCATAATACCTGCCCTGTGACCTTTAAAAATTTGACAAATGAAGAAAAATTTGCTTGCCCAATGAATTTATATAATAAATTACCTTCGTTCCTACACAGACTCCATTCCTACCTGATTTACTGCTTTTATTCACAATCTATTTCTATGAAAAGTATAATAAAATTAACTTAACCACAAATTGTTTACATGCTTAAAAGTATATCTAGAACTACTAAATTTGCTAGAATCGAATTCGATATCGAATTTAATCCCATCAAATTATTGCTTCGTTTTGCCGCAGTTTCTGTACTTTTTTCTCGTCAAACTGAGGAAATCCTTTCTTCTACGTGTTTTGACTCAAGTGGTTATGGAGTGAAATTCACTATGGACAGGACTCTAATTAGAGACGATTCCATTACTAGGAGTGCATTGATAACCTGTACCTGATTGACAGAAGTTCTTGTTGAATTATACACTACTGACTCATAAAAATCAAATTTTGTTCAATTTCTCGCATTCATAATGTGAGCTAATGCCATTTTCTCAAAAGATTTAATAATGATAATTCTTTCACTTGCGTGGAATGACTGGTGCAAAAAGATCAGGTCGGGATCGAACTAGTGCCTTTCGCAATGCCCTTCGACCAACTCCATGAGCTCCAAGAATAACGAGAGAGCGATGGTGGAAATCTCTAACCCTGATAACTTCCTCGTATGCGGAAAACGCCACCTCACCGAAGAGGAAGGAAGCACATTCTTTCCATCGAGGTTGACGTCTTAGTGCTCCAGCTGAAGTCGTCGTCGTAGTTGTGGTTGAATTCGATGCAGTGGTCTAGTGGAAAAGTAAATAGTGTGTACACTTAAGTTATTCAGCAACGTGACCTTTCAATGCAATAATTGGTATATTGACGTGTACGAGCAATGTGTATAACACTTTAAGGATTGACTGGATCTAATGTATTCAAAAAATTGTTTTAAGTCTAGTCCATTTGTAGGCTCAGACTACCCCATTGAATTTTCATTATCTCATCATTGGACGTCCTTAAAGATGGTAGCATAATGATTTCTTTGTGGGTATTATAGAGGCGTAAAGCAACCTCTTCAATAATCCAAAACGATTACTTTCTTTTGATGCAAAGAATATGTGACTATAACTCTGCGTTTATTCATGAAGGGTTCTCGTTCCCTTCTCCACTTAAATATTGCTTTATAAAGTTGCTATAAACTCTCACATTCTTTGCTTTATAAATCTGCCACTCAATTTGGTAAAAATTTTAGAATGTTGGTTAGGTGTCTCTGATCTTTCTACTGTTATTTCAGATTTGTCATCACGGATTTCACCCCTACTTTGTGTTTGTGGAGTTCGATAGGCCATGGAAAAGTATTAGCTTGGCAAGACACCCATCGCTCAAGGAAGCAAAGCGTTCCAACTTGAAATATAAATTGTACCATAGTTATGTATGTTATCTACATACGTATTAAAAGTTATTTTGAATGAACTTGCTGGCATGATGTCCAGACTGAAAATGACGTTCGAAAATTAATGGCGGCATCATCATCATCATCCAATCATCTCAACCCCCTTGACAAACCCTCCACAAATGGAGACTAATTTAGTTGGGAAAATGAGAGAGAGATTTTCAATGCTATTGGGGCTTCTTTTAGCCGGAAAATTGCATACATTCACACATAAAGGGTATTAAAAGTGTGCCATTTTCAGCCACATGCCATATAACCTGGAAATGCCGAATTCGACCTCATAACAATTTCAACAAATATATAAATCTACATATCAAATAATTCCCGTTTAGAGTAATGCAATTAACAACTTATTTAGAATCGATAAAAGCAGCCTTACAAAGTTAAATTCTTTGACACAAATGTGGTACTGCCAACATCACAAGAAGGGCGATTTTTGAAAGTTATTTCATTGTTTAGCTAATTTTAAATTTATAAGTCGGACTTGCAACATTGGTGCATTATTTGTGAAGTTTTTACGACTTTAGGGGGACATAATAATGAACCTTTTGGCTCAAACATGAGGATATACACCACCACGTTCTGAATTTCTGGATTTTTGGGGCATAAATTATGAGTTGAAATGGCATTGCCAAGCAGCTATTAAATTCAACTGACAAAAATGATACTATCACTTCAAAAAGTTCATGTCAATCACGCCTTTATCTCGCGATTTCGTTCGTAAGAATATGCAGGTAGATCGAAGTACCGCAGTCAATCATTCAAAAAGAATTTGGCTGCTGTGGACACGATCGCAACCAGAAAACCATAGTTTATTGAAAATCAAAACATTAGGAAATTTCGAAGAGAAAGTACGAATCTGGTTGTGATTCCATCACGCGGGAGCCTTGGCTAAACCTCAGTAGTCTCGTTGATAAAATCCCCCCTAGTATGGAACAACTCCGGAAATTAGCTGAGAGAACAGAGCATAAGACGCGGAATGCATTTGGTGCTTGGGTGAGAGGTCTTTGCCCTCATGAACTTTTTGCTCACTAATGTTCCAGCATGTTCGATAAGCAATGAGATTACTGAGTTTAACTATGTTAGGGTTGCGTACTCCATAGATCTAAGTGACATTGAATTCAAATATTTTAGAAGCTTCAACCCTTAACTTCAGTATATTCACCTGTCCCCCCCCCCTCTTTACCCTGGTTCATTCACCATTGGACTACTTTGTGATTTAGGGAGTGCTGATGCCACTGCACGATTAGAACTTGGGATAATAGTATCAGAACAATGGGAACAATTAATCGGTTCGATTTTGTTAACAAAAATGAGTTCTAGACTAGACGCTTTTATATATACAGATCAATGTAATGCCCATTTTAAGGGATCAATGCAATGCCAAAAGTAGTTATATTTTTTCTATAACTGCGGAGATTACATTCAAATTGTGGCTATGTTTTCACTTATTTCCCGGAATCGTAACTCTCCAATTTTCAGAGGTTCCATATACTTGATTATCTCGTAATTTGAGCCATATATTCAATGCTTTTTTCATCACAAAATGACATGACTGGTGTTATATGATCGATATTAACAAAAAATGGCAAATCGCCCTAGATGACCTGTGCAAAAATTTGAAGTGAATCAACAGTTGTGAACCTAATGAATATGAACTCGCTCTATGACAAATCGAAGCGAACAACTCGATGTATCCAGAACTTGAATGGAGTTAAAGTATGCCTGTTCTGACCAATTGATCTAATTTTGCTCCATTTAGACTCGTTTACAGCCTCCTATAGGTAGATACTTAGAGTTAGTTGCCCTCCACAATTAAAATGAACAAATTTTGTTGGTGCAAAATTGTAGATATTAAGCAGTGTACGACCATCCACTGTTGACTGAAATAAAAAACTGCGTTGAAGTGGAACGAAAGATTGTGCAATTTGAATGTCAGAAGAGAGTTTGTATGAAATTGTGAGGTCTTCAATGCCCTCAGAGTTCAAATAATGTCTATTGACATCCCGACTTCACTTCACACTTACAATTCCATTGTCTTAGCAAACACGCAAGCTGGATTTCAACAGTTCCATAGAAATCATAATGGTGTTAGACACATGAAATCAATTGCAATAACGTTCTAAGTGTCAAGAAGGGATGAAGCTTACCGCTCACACCAGAAACTTCGTCCCTGTTCCAAAACAAGCAGCTCAAAGGTCTCTCATATTTTATTGTGATAGAATTGCATTCAAAGTGACCAGAAGTTCTTCCATTCATGTCCCCCACAACCACCTTTTCACTAAGTGACATGAATTAATATAATTCAAAATTTTATATTTTATCAATTTCCACAAGGCGAATTACGATTTCTGACCACAAAGTACTAACAACCTTGTTTCATACTCACCAAATTAGTCTTTTTATCACTGTTCAAATTAACTTAGACATAGGTTGACTGATTCAATATTCATAATGAATAACGAACAATGCATCTTCTGCCCATATTACTACATCATAATTAAGTGGATTCAAATATTTCACTTAAAAGAAAATAGCTTTCTCAGTAATGTAATTTAAGACGTGAAAAGATGGAAAACAGCAGATCTTAACGTAATTTGCAATTACCTCAACTGTGAGGCTTACTTAGAGCGAATCATACCAACAAAACAGCAATAATTCCCAGAAAATTCTCTTAATTAAATTAATTTATGTCATTTATATAAAACATATATTTTTAAAATGGCATTCAGAATTGGATGCTCCTATCTGTTGACCATACCCCTCGAATTATGTCTTCTGAAATGGTGACAATGGAACTAATTATCAATTGAACTAATTGAACTATTTAAACAAAATATCGGCGGAGCACACATTTTCCAATGACCCTCCTTTTCCCATACAAGCAACAACCCGACGAAATTTCAGTTCTGCAGCCATATTTCACAAAATTTAAAATTGTCCACTTCATGCAAATTATTGGAAATAGAAATTATTTTTGATTTTATTCCCAATCAAGCATTGGAATTATTACATTTGATATTTGTATAATAAAATATCATTTACTGGAAAATCCAGCCATGTCTCTGTAAACAACATCTCGATCAGTTTACTTAGACACTTGGAATAAAAGTCTAGAGGCATCAGGAAAGTCTCGCGTCACACAATAATCAATAATCGATTAAATATGCACATTACTTTTAGGTGACATTCGAAACTATTCCGGTAATGTTGATGAGCAAAGGCTCAGATGCAAAAAAACCCTTTCCTAAATCCTATTAAAAAAGAAGGGGAATATTTAAAAAAAGTCATTTTTTGTCATTTTCGCACCGACAAATCGATTTCGATATAATGATCTCTGGTTTGATAGGCTTGAACATTGTATCACCAAATATAACCGGATTGTTCAACAGTTGCTGATTATTGTCCACAAGTATTAGTAAATTCAATAATAATAATAATTATTATTATTATTTCCCCTTTGCTTTAAACAGCAAAATTATAAACTGATTTGGTGGGAGGTGTGCAAAAAAGGACAGTTTTTATGGTTTAGGAGTTATTATATGGCATTTGCAGTAAACGAACCGGGTGGTATTTATAGCTGGAATGCAGCTTCTGTTATTGACTTTGCCTGTTAATAGACAAGCCGTAATAAGCGCAGCAATTAGATTCAACTTAGTGAGGGTAATGGTAACCGGTAAATAATAATGGCTTTTGGATGATAGTAGGAGAACTTGTCATGTCATAATTACGAATACCTCCTAAGATGCCAACTCATAGCCCATTTATAATTTGGATCAAGTCGAAATGGTTTAATTAAATAGATTTACAATGGCACGAAATAAACTGATCTAAATTCAATTAACGTTCTGAAATTTTGTATTACAAAGTAAAAAAGAAACCATTGGGCAAATAAAAACCGCTTTTCATTTAAGAAAATCTGATTTTGTAAATAATTCAATAGTACCAAATAAATTCACATAATTAGAATAGTCAAATCTCAATAAATTTTACATCTAAAATACTCTGTTTTTTTGCTTGATTATGTTAGAGCAATATTTCTTAATACCATGATAGCATTAATAATTTAGATATATCCTTGTCTTTTCAACAATTTTAACTTAATTAGGCGTGCTTATGCTTACTACAAAAGAAATGTTCAGTAACGAAACCCCCATAGAACAAAGGCATTCGAATTCTACATGTTACCTTTGTTCTAATTTAATTCGCGTATCGATTTCGTTAATATATTTGAAATAACTGTCTGCGCATAGTGTTAGGCATGAGGCACTCGTTGATTAAAATAATCTGAGTAAAGGAGAGACAGAAAAGAAAATAATCAATATTTTAAATCCATTTTCAATCCTAACACAAGTGCCTGCGAGTGAAAATACGACATAATGACTCAATGAAGACACGCAATTCGGGGTCTTCACTTCGACTCATAAATGTCTCCATGGTCCTTTGAGTGCTTTAGAACATTCTCTTCTAGTGACTTCCGAATTAATGCCACCAGTAGCATTCTGGTAGTGAGTCATTTTACAACTCAAATAATTGGCCCTTTATTGCATGGTATGCTATAAGTGTTTAGTACATTTTAATTTTCCTTTGTGAGTTAAACGCTTTTTGTTATTGAATGAAAGCTAAATTTATAAGTTTCGCGTCTGTAGAAGATCCATAAAATCGGTTTGGTATAAAATATGAAATATTCCTGGTTGGATTATTTTGGAAATGTTTAGACCGACTTCAACGAATCAGCCTTTTACCCGTATGTCACGAATCGTAGGCATTCCGTGCTGACCTGCTAACTTTCATTCTATGCAAAGAAACCACGATATTTGCTTCGTTTGAATGTTTTAAACATTAATGTAAAATCGTATTCGAGAGGGGGAGAGAGAAATTTTAAGTTTCTAACAAGATTTGAAATTCACATACCTTTGTTAAGCCGAAAAAATCAATAAATTACTCGAAGAGACTCATGTTTACCGTCACCACCATTTTCTAAACAAGAAAATGGGATAAACAAAGAAATCTGATGTTTTTCATCCTTAAAAAGTTAAATTTCAAATAATTAATTAGTAGGCAAAGGATTGGTGGTGAACTATATGCTTAAAGTAACACAGACCCCGAAGGACTATGGTGGGTCTCAATGCCACTGGCTCTGTGATCCGGAGCCATAAGAACAGTGTGAGTTCCATCAAGGTGTCATTTTGTGCATAGTTTTCCTATGTGTCAAAAATAAGGACGATTTATTTGTTCCAGTGATTTAATACTTTAATTTCAGGTGCTGATGTAAATTTTAATTGGTTATTTCTATTTTTGCACCTGTGCATGGACCATATGAACTTTTATTTTTAATTTTTTTAACGAACGACAATTATTGTCCTAAATTTGCTAATCTGATTTTATTTGTTCTGAATTTTAATTGTCACGGGTTATGAAATGACATTCAGCTTAAACTAAATAAAAATCAATAAAAACTTAACAACAATATTTAAGAGCGTTAAGGGCAAATAAGCAATCTTCGTAAATCTCTCGTATTATTATATCAGTCATTTGTTCCTACATTTTTCAGTCACAAGGCCCTTCCTACCAAACGAGTAATTTATAGGCGTTGAATCTGCCAATCGGTGGCTTCTAAATTTCAAATCGCAACCAAAAGTCTCCCGATTTTGAAAATATAGCAGATGTCATCGAAGTACCAATTAATAGTGTATTATTTCTAATACTCCAAAGGCGCACCTTCACGAATAAATCATTTGGTGTTTCAGTGGTTTTGAGGAAAGGTTAAATAAGTAACCCATTGTACTCGCATTTAAACTTTTAAATTAATCTGTTTCACGTAATTATTAAGTTACATGACTGGTTGGGAGCTTACTTCTTTGTCAACAGTTTTGTGATTGCTTAATGGGTTAGATTTGGGAGCGTGATTTAAGCCCTCAAATGCAACTTAATCCCTACAGGAATTTGCGGTAAAGTTTGCGTTAAACAGACGGTGGATTAGGCCTTTCCAGGGATGTTCTCCAGTAAGTAAACCCAAGATCCTATTTTCTTTGCGTAGTTTAAGATTACGCGTTTTTACGTTTTTTCTTTTGCTGTTGATGAATTTGATCTAAAATATTAAGTTATAAAAATAAACACAGCACTCAGAAAACAATTATTTGTTCACGGGCATTGAGCTTATATCAAATGAAATTAGTCGAGTTTTGCGAGAAGCGTATCCTTCTTCCTCCAAGACTTAAAAAAATTTGACAGAATTTCGTCACTCACCTCCAACTCTCAGCACTTCTTTCTGAAAAGTTGTCTTGTGAAACGAATGAAAAATAGTTAATAAATCTAATAAATCTATGTAAAAATACATTTAGCTGCACATCTGAACAAAAAACTAAAAAATAAAACAAATTGAGGAGTATGGCATTGCTTTCAACTTAATATTCTTAATTTATTTAGTTTAAATAGGCAATACACGGGATCATTTCATTATTTATTTATAGCAAAGAGACTGCAAAACACTGTAAATACTGGCGATGTGTAAATGTAATTTATATCATCAATAAGCATTATTTTTAAGTAAAATAGAATAATATGATAAATGAAACTGGGAATTCATGGATTCCTTATTTACAGGCTATAACAATACGAGAGAGACAGAGTACGTATATTTCGTATTTACTTGAATTAAAAGTGCATTTGAAATAGTACACGAGCAATGAATGTGCGTCAAAGTACTTTAACTGTCATAGAATATGACAACAATGCTGATTGTTCTGGTTCTTCTTCACATTTGCGTCACTGAAGCGGAAGAGGGTAAAAAAATATCCATTGTCACGTTTTCCCTATCACGAGTAACATTCTTTATAATTTAATTTTAATGAAAAATTAAGTAATTTTATTTAATGTTCTCAAGAAATTCTTAATATTTGCCCCGCAACTAATCTATAAGCATTTTTTACTAATTTAGCCTGTTGTTTATTTATTAGTTCCAAAACTTAGTGGGATTGATAATTGACCAGTTCATTCCATGTGAACGCTCGGTGTATTTGTTTTGAGAATGTTAAACAATTTACCAGACTTATTTTCGTAAACAATGTCGTTTATTAATCTTAACGTAGTAATTGCGTAAATACTTATCACTCAAAAGCCATATTATTCAAATCAGTAGAGAAAAATAAGCTACGTTATTACCATAATAAGCCTATAATTTAAGTTATATTTATAAAGGGCAAGGGCTGTGTATAAAGTTAAAATTTGGGTAATTTTTTTTAAATTGCGCAATTTAAAACAGACTATTTCTTGTCCTACTTAATAGATTGCAACCAACCAACAAATTTTGTACTCGAATACATTTATTGGCCATTTTATCGGAAAATTCAAATGTCATCTTTCTTGCAAATCATTTTCCTAGTTTATAACATTAAACAAGGAAGTACACATAATCTTGACCGCGCCAATTATATATTCCATAATTTGGAAATAAAAAGAAATAGAAATAGATAAAGACACAAAATACTATCATAAATATCAAAAATTTAGCAAAGTAACTATATTTTCTGCAAATATTTAAAATCATAAGATTAGATATTTTTTGCATGGATAATTTAAATTTCATGTCAAGTCCCACAAGATAAGTAATTGCCTGCGTGCTTGTGTCAGCAAATGGTACAAGTCGTTCCCATGTTCTAGAACAGTGAACGCAAATTTAAACAAATAAAATTAATTTTATTCAACACCAATTTGGGAAGAAAAATTAGTCCAAAAAGTGTGTTTTTATGCTAATTTTGCGTACCATTAATTTTACAATTTGAAATTCTCAATGGCAAAAGCTGCAATTTATTATGAAACGGCGTTTTAAATAAAAATTCGATAAAATTGAACTTCGAAAGACATGTAAGCTATGAACGTTAGAATAACAAATATATTATAAAATTAATTAATTAGATTAACCTAAAAAGTACTTCGAAGACTGCGTTCTTTAAAATTTTAATATAAAACAATATTTTAATGGTGCTTAATTCACTAAAGAAAATGGTTTTCACATTGTTCGATTTCTTAATAGCTCCTAAAAATTTCACGTTTTTGAAGAGGGAAGACATTGAATTGAGTCCACCTTCAATAATTCGTTAATAATCACCGAGTGAATGCATTTAGCAATCGAGATATTCCCGGAAATTGTGTTTTTTTTTGTTGTTGTTGTGTAGACATACACCACTAAGATAGTGGTACATCAAAAAATGAAGTTACCGCATTCAATGCAATATTTTATTCACAACTGTTCTATGCTGCCTATTTATGGTATTTATATTGTTCAATGAGAGAATGGTTACTTTCTTACGATAAAGTTAGTAGATACTTGCTCCACCATTGTGATTCTGCCTCCCCCCCCATAAAGTTGTCGAAATTATTAACAATTGAAGTATACCCCCTGAAACACCAATCTTTGAAGTTCTAAAATTAGTTATTATTAGAGTATTTAAGCAGAAATATTTATACCCATCAATTTCAATGAATTTTACAATGTGTACAAGAAACTTTTGTCAACTTAACTTCTGAGAGATCTTTTATAAGCTGGAGAACATTCCAATTAAATGCTACTTTTAGCCTAATGAACCGAGTCAGGTATTTTTCATTTGAAATTAAATAAATTTAATACGTTATTCAAGCCCGGACTTAGAGTATACTGTTCAATAGCTATTTTTAATTCCGAAATATTAAAGTTGATTTACCAGAAAAAAGGAAGCAAGATTTCTACTTCCATCTCTATTGATACTTATAATTACACAAATGCTTAAGATCAATTTTTTTGAATATATCTATAATTATATATACATATATATTTATATATTAATTGAGCTTCAAATAATTTAGCTGCATGCGTAAAAGGACAATATCTACCTGCAGAGTTGAGTTGCATCGGGAACACGTTCGGCTAGGAGTCGTACTTCCAAAACTAGAGTTTTCCTCAAAGAAATAGTCATTTTGCCTACCAGTGTTTCTCGAATTCTCATTATCAAAATTTTCCACCTCGTCATCATCTTGCCCTAAACTGAAGGTCTCTGTGGAATGACTGCGACGAGCTGACGTCCATTTCAAAATCCCTTGTCCATCTCCTCGGCGGCGTGATACACTACGATGACGTCGGCGACTGGAACTACGTCGTCGAAAAAGCATCCAGTGGGAAAAATTCTCCGAAAGACTATCAATAAATCCACTCCCTGTTGTACTACTTGTACTAGTGGATGAACGTGGAAATCGCCTGGTGGCAAGAAGATTGAGCAGACTTGCGAAATGGTTGGTAGGGTTGGCGGATTCAGCTACTAGTGAAGCATGAGCCTCCTTTGAGGCTCTGACAAGTCGGGATTCCTCCAAATCGGCACTGGGAATCAAGCCAGCTGGTGTTGAGGAGGATTCTGCCTTAGCATGTCTTGCCTAAGTTCAATAATAGTGTGGATTGATTGTGGCTCGCTTAAAGAAAGTTAGCAATGGTTCATTTATTCCTACCTGCCACCAAGTAAAATCTGTTGCATCTACGATTTCCAAGATGTCGCCAACTTCGAAAGACTGGCCAAGCTCCGGACATGGAAGTTCTAAATCCTCTCGAGGATCATAATCAAACATTGCGCGCACATACATCTGAAATTAAATGTCGGTTTAAATACAAAAAAATTGAGACAGATCATTTTTGACGACTATTTACAAATGCACTTGGGAAGGTTAATTGGAATATATATGGAAATAAATGTTAACTCATAAGTATTGTTTAATCGCATTGAAATGATTATTGAAAACCAATACCTGATAGGCCGACTTTTGCCCTTTGGGTGAAGGCGTAATTTTCAACACTATTGTACCCTCCATGGATAGCTGAAATATAAAAGAGTGATAGATTGGTTATATATTAGGGCCTATTATCTTAACACGCCATTAATTCCTTTTATTATATTAATAATTGTCTATTGGACTTGATTATTCACTTGACTTGACAAAGCTTTAAGTGAAATGCGATATTCTCTATTGATTGTCTAATATCTAAAATGAGTTAGCAACTTTGTTCATCTCGCTGAAATCTTAAGTGAGCTCAGTTATTATGTAAAGCACGATTGACAATTTCATTTATCGGTCTATGGCAGAAAGATGATACAACAAAATTTGCTGCTTGTCAAGCTAAAATATCACTACTTCCCAGAAACTCAGAGACTGATTAAGGCAAATTAAGGCATTTTGGCATTTGAATGATTCACAATTGCGGAAGCAGAAGACGTAATGATTGTTTAAATTTGTGTACCAATTAGCGATATATATGTATTGTTCGAAAAAAGAAAATTATGAATAAAGGCAAAGTTCCCAACTAGATAAATCATACACGACGATTCTCAATTTTCTACTCAAAGGGAATGATTCAGATTGCATTTAATCAATGATTTAGTACTTATAAATACAATTATTCCGCTAATTCAGGGGTATATGTTGATTCAAACAAAGCGTGAATCAATTACTAATTCGAATGATCGGTCCAAACAGTTGTTCACAAATCTTAAAAGCTTAGAATAATGGTTTTATCCAAATCCATTACTTTATATGCATTATGCAACGAGAACTTTTCATTTGTGTGAAAGATAAAATAAATCTTTACTTAAATATTTGAAATTTCAAATGAAAATTAACTTGCCAAGTACTGTTGAATACTTTCAATGGAATGTCCAGTTATGGGATTGCCATTAATTTCCAAGATTTCATCCCTCACATGAAGAAGATCTAAGAATAATTAACATATTTCTTTTAAGTAATTTGTCAGAAAGAAAAAATTTCAAAAAATATTTTGTACTGTTTATATGGTTAAGAGAAAGGTTAAGCACACAATATGATTTTTTGTTAACATTGGTGTCACTTCTTTTCTCGTCTGATCGAACAGGATATTAAAGAAAACGGAAAAAGATGGAAATCAAAAGTGAGAATCACAATGACATTTGCCATTGAAGCAGTCAATACCACTTTTGCAGAAAGGTGTAAAAGAGTTAATGAAATTCATAATTTTCACCTCTTAAACCAACCAGCATCCCAAAGTCGTACCGCCCATGTCTTATCCACCAACCACATCGAAAAATATGAACGTTTTAATGCAAATCGTCATGGTGAAAGTCGGTTCTTGAAGAGGCTCTCATGAGAGTTGGTTTTTTGATTGAAGTAATTTTCGTCAGCACCTTATAAATCCCTTCATATTTTAATAGTAATTTGCATTCATTATGAATATTCAATCATATTTGTAAAATTTGCGTTTTTTTAACTGTCATTCAAAGGGTAATGATATATATATATATATAGAGCTTGACAAGTTTATTATTTATTAAACACTCAGATCAATGGCATATATTATTCTTGTGATATAAATCTAATTTAATATTAGAAATTATTCATAAATTGTTAGTCAATAATTTTTTCAAGTATTATTTAATAAAAAATTATCTTTTTTCTTTTAAAAAGATGCCAATGTTGAACTCTTGTCTTTGTGTTCCGTCATTTACAAATTAATCATTATATGAATGAATGTTGTGAATAATACAAGTGTTTAATTTAAGACTACGATGCTGAATGACAAAGTATAGGTTTGGTGAATCGATTTAAAATTTGAAATAATAATCAAGTGAACACCTTTTGTGATTAACACAGTTTGAAATTAATTTGGAGGTCTCATTCTTTTAAAATTAACTTCTGATATTAGTTACTGAGACGGTATAAACTTACATTTGAGAATTTAAAAATGTCTTTATAAAAGTGTCAAGTTAGGTTGAATTTTTGTTTTTAATTTAAATTCTGTTGAAAATTAGATGAAACTAAATCATATAATGATTAAGCAAAATTGGAAGATACTTGTTTTGTGAATTAAACCGCCATGTATGATTCGAGCAATGATACATCGACCCGAAGCACTGGATCGGAGAGTCAGTCCCTAAAAACAAAGAAACCATTAAAAAAAATTGAGAAGTAATTAAAGTCGCTTCATTATCGTTTTCAATCAATGATTATATTTATTAACTATGAGATATAATTTAGGTCAAAATAATTTATCGAAATTTTCCACAAATAGAGAAGACATTGCTCGAAACTATGCAGTTGTTATTTTGAGGTCCTGGCAACAGCTTTAGGAATAATTTTAATATAAATGAATGGTGCAATTGAAAGATTGTTCTGAATGCGTCCACCCGTCTGAATAACCCGGTACATCATTTCAAATATTATATTTAATACCAATAAATTTAGTTACATAACATTAATTAATACGGAATTATTATCTTCACTTAAATTCGTTTTTTATAGAGAGAATGAACTCTAAAAATTAAGGAATTATACATACTTTCCATGCTTAAACCCTCAATAATCTAAATATTACATCTTTGAACACTGTTTAATTTGTCTTCTTTTATTGATAAGAAATTCAAAATAAATTTGATCCATAAAATTTTAATTGATGCCGATTGGAGATCAATTCTTGGAATCATGTGCTTCAGTTCATTATCTACTCAAAATATTTAATATTTAATACTTTAAATGGCAATTAAGTTTCAGTAATTTTCAGAGATAAATAAGGTAGAATATGAAAGCAACGATAATTAAAACATGACTAAAGGTAAACATTAACCCCAAATTAAATTTTAAAACGAGAATGGATCTGCTTCCTGACACGTAAATTTTGCTTAATTATAGTGTAGAAAGTGGGAAAGTTTGTTTGATTTGTTGAATGCATTTATTGCATTACGTTCCACGCTGAGTTTCTTTTATATATTTAAATTAAGTGGGCAAATAAAGTCTCTTTGACTTATTATATTTTCAATCAATGCAGTAAAACAAAAAACGAAAAGGGGGCTACAAATTTACGAAAGTGAACCCATGGGAGATCACCTTAGCTGCATTTACGTTTGAATTACCGTGGATCTAAAATGTAGGCGTCACACACACAGAGTAGGGAGAGAATGCAGGGCTTAGATGTTTGACAAGGAAGTTTGATGTTATAACAAGGCGCGCACTTTTAGGCATTCCCAGTGTTTGCCTCAGTAATTAATTAAGATCAGTGATTGGAGGGGAGGGGGGGAGGATACAGACATTTTTCACTGAATAGAATCGCCCCTATTTAAAGAAGAGTTGTTGGACGTGTTACAAGTGTGTAAAACAGACACTGGCTGTTTTTAACAAATAATTCAATGAACAATGAGGACTGTGTTCTCAAAAATCAATAAGTACTCAATATTACGCAATTTAGTATAACACACCTTTATTCAAACCCTAGGCTGTTAAATTTTACATAACGCGTGATTAGTTCTTAAACTTTAGAAGTAAAATTGGCCTGAATTAGCAAGATCGATCATTCTAATTTACTGGAACTAGGCAATATCATTGAACGCCACAGATAAACAAGGGGTGCAATCCAGTAATGAATTAAGAACTTTGAATTTCGAAAAGTAACCTGCCCAGTTAGAAAAAAAATACGAGCAACTCGATTTCAAAAGTCGATCATAATTGGACCTTTTGATATTTAGACCGTGAAACATTGAAGGCTGGCTTCATTATAATCGAGCTAGTTCGCGTTACAGCATAAATATCTTCACTGGTTCGGGGAAATACCTAAAATACTATACAGAAACACTTAATGATAGTAATCAATCAACAAAATCTAAGTTTACTTAATAAAAACATGCCAGCAACATCTGGAATTTATGTACTAAATCTTAAAAAATACAGATAAAAAACCTTGTGCCTGAATGTAGCTTCAGAATTCAAAAATTCTTTGAAGGATAGCATGTGCGCTTGCCCAATAAGAATTATTCAACTTGCTCATAGCTTTAGGTCGGGTCTATCTACGCTAAATTACAAATTTTCTTTCGTTTAATATGATTTTTTAAACAATAAAAGAGAAATTTGTCAATAGATAATGTTTCGGGGTGCAAGTTATGAATAAATTCTATAAAACAAATATCGATAATATCTAAATACAAGATCTAATTTTTTGGAACTTTCTAATTTATTTGAACTAAATACTACAAACTAAAGCCATGCTTTAGTTTAAAAAAATCTCATTTCAAAAATCAAACGCAAGACGCACTACGATTCCAATTGTTCAACTTATGCATTTCTTCCTAAAACACCAAACATGAAATTAAAGTTCTTATTAAAATTTGAGAGTAGATTTGTTAAATTGAAATGAAGTTGATTAAAATTTTCGTTGATTATTTGAAATTTGTTATTTATTGACAAGAATTTGTATTAATAAAAGTCTTCTTACTTTTGACTATTAATAGCACTTAATGCAGGGATATTTGCTGGTCCTTTTCAGGCCAAACTGTCTGCTTATCAAATATTTCATATTAAATATATATATGTAAACATAATTATATAACCACTATGAAAAGTAACTTAAAATGAGATAATTTTTTTCGATTTCTTTAACAATTTAACGAAATATTTTCCAATGATGTCATTAAAAGCTATACAAATTCTGTGGATTTTGGTATTCAATTCACAATTGTTACATGAACTTAGCTGCGATAAAGCGCTCTTTTGTCAAAAAATTTTGTATACTAAAAATTGTGCGAGTTGGGGGTTTGGTCGAAGGTTTCAAGATAGATGATTGATAATTGCAG